GTATCCCGAGACTTTGCTGAAGTTGCTTATCATCTTAAGGAGATTTTGGGCTGAGATGATGGGGTCTTCTATCTATATAATCATGTCATCTGAAAATAGAGACAATTTGACTTTCTCTTTTCCTAATTGAATACCAAATGGTAAAGACCGTCGACACAATGAAGAAACTGTGTCAACTAATGGGCAAAACCACCAGCTAGTGGAGCATCTCAGATGGAGGGGCTTGGTCCAGAATTCTCCCCAAAGGAAACACTCCAGGAAGAAAGTTTATTCTTAGGAGAGGACTGGGGCATCAGTAGGGGTCTTCTAAGACCAAAGGCCAGGCTCTTGCAAGGGGAGGGAAGGCAGTGGGGGCACTTCAGAGGATGGAAATGGAGGTTTCCTAACCTTGTGTCTGTGGGTGGAGATAAATCAGTTACAGGAAAGACCATCAGTGAGAGCCAGTATTGAGTGCCCTGATGAAAGGGCTTCTTGCATGCATCTCTGACCAAGATTTCTACTCTACGAAGTACTGACTGCCATGTCCACTGTAGGAACCTACAGCTCCCCTCTGTGAAACAACTTTTCCCTGTCTCAGTCTGCAGGGAGGATGGGCAAGGGCGTGATCATCTGTGAGCACTCTTTAAATGAACAAATCAGATTTCTACATCTGTGCTCTACCTTTCCGAAACAAGATTGTGTATCTTTTGTTCCCAAACTGAGGGGAGATGGCATATAAGTATCTTCTCAGGTGGTTTTCTTCTTGTCTTTTTTCCTGGTTAAGTAGAGGGACTTGTGAGGTTTGGGGTTCAGGTGGGAAAATGGGATCCCTGAAGTGTTCCCTCCTCTGTTTTCAGTGTAGAGAGTGAGGCTCGTATTCAACCCTGCTCAGCTGAGACACAGTTCCGTTCACCCTGTTATGGCTCAGTTATTCAAGCCTCCAATCCCATCGCTTATCCCTGTGTGGCGGAAAACAGCTGCCTGACATTTCAGTGCAGTGACTCATCTGAAATTGGGTAGGGATTTTGGTTCAGAGTGCCTGCCATAAACTCCATGCTATCGACGAGTGTTAATCCTGATGTGTTCTCGGATCTTCCAGCGGCCTTGGCACTCATTCTTTGTGCCCCAGGAAAGTTTATCCTCTTCGATTCCTTCCACCACCCATGAAATCCTCCAAGCCCTTTTCGTGATGACCACTACCTGTTTTACAGCTGAAAGCAAGAAAGAAATTTTGTGGCACTTGGAGAAGTTTTAATGAGCAAAGCGTAAGGGTTGAAGTGAGGCGGGATCATGCTGTCAGCTGGTTCTGGGAATCCCGTGATCACTTAGAAACAGGGATTCTTGGACAACAGGAAATCTGATTATCACCCTCAATCGCAGACACACACTGAAGAAAGGGAGACATCTCTACACACTCGCATCAGCCCCCAAGCACCTAAGACTCAGACACACACCACCACGCCTGGCAGATTTTCAAATTTTGGAAAGATAGAGTCTCGCTGCATTTCCTCGGCTGGTCTCCAACTCCTGGCCTCAAGCAATCTTCCCCACTAGGCCTCCCAAAGTGCTGCAGTTACAGGCCTCAGCAAACTTGATGAATATCCATTGGAAGCTCTGCCCGAATGGAAATTAAACATGTAACTTTCTTGTTTTGGGTGAATCTATCTCTGAACCCGAGTCTCCCAATGTCCTTCCCTAGCAAATCAGGATCTGCTCATCACCCAGTCACACAATAGGAAGGACTGCTGGAGTGGGAGTCAGGGAAGTTGAGCCTGGGAGGCAGGGGCCAGTGCCTTCTGTGTGGACCCCACCTGAGGAACCATGGGCCCCGTAGCCTGCTTTCTCTTTCCCACGTTGCTTGGGAAGAGGCCCCTGAGGATTCATGCATTCTGTTCTCATGAATGCTCAGAAACGAGTCCTTAATAACTTATGGTCCCCAAGATCCCTAACAGTTCTGCCACCCTGGATCCACAGTGACACACATGGGAAGTTTCACAGCTGCATCATCAGAGGTATTTCTGTGTGGGGAGGAACCTTCTCATGAACAGAAGGCCACTGCATGTTCCCAGTTCAATACCTGGCCATATCCCAGCACACACACACACCCCAGTCACACGGAGCCATGCCACTCACTGAGTCATGCATGCCTGCTCTCTGTGCATATAAAGATGCCCATGCACTGGTCCAGCTGGGCTCACATAGACACTCACATCACAGTCATGAAAACGAAGCACAGTCACCCCCTTAAACTCACACACCCGTCCACCTCCTACCTAAAGTCACATCATTTCAGCAGAGTTCACACTGACCAGACACTGTCACACACTCGCAGAAGGTGACGCTAATGCAGGATCCACACATCATAGCCTACAGGTATCTCAGATGCCATTTCCCCGGGTCTCTCTTCCATACGCCCCCAACTCTCAGTGAAGCATTCACTGGAAAAGCTCGTATTTTCATCTCATGAAATCTCCCTCTTTCTCTTCTTTGTGTAACTTAAGATATGGAAGGCTCTGTCTTTTCAACTCATGGATATATACGTGACAGCTCCATCTGGCCAGCTCTTCTGAATTGTTTCTAGGCTTCTGTGTAAATTTCTGAGTTGCAGAATTTAAAGGGTCCCTGTCAGCTGTGCCCTCTGGCTTCATTCCTGATTAAAAGCCCTTCCCAGCAATGTCTTCCCACAGAGCGAGAAGGGGTGGGGTGTCAGAAACAGACTCAGTCACAACCATACCTGTTTGGAGGCCTGTGCCTCTGATGCAGCAGAAATGACAGTGAGGGAGGTACTGGGGGAGGAAGGGGCCACCAGGGAAATGCACACATAAAGAAGATAGAGTGAGGGTAAGGGGTGTCAATTCCAGCCTCCATGCTTCTCATGAAGCCTTTTCTCCACTGTTCAGGATCTACCAGGAAGGTGTGCATTTTCCTAACCAGTACAGTGGTCAAAAGCTGGAGATCCTGGGGGCAAGGCACTTGGCCTTGAAAGAAAATTCGCTTCTTTCTCCTCCAGCAAGTTATGGGAGAACATAGATCTTGATCCTTAGCAGTACCTGGGGAGAGAAGTGTAGAAAACACTTGTGTCTTCTTTATTTTATTTTATTTTGTTTTGTACTTTAAGTTCTGGGGCACATGTGCAGAATGGGCAAGTTTGTTACATAGGTATACACATATCTTGGTGGTTTACTGCATTCATCCCCCGGCCATCTACATTAGGTATTTCTCCTAATGTTATCCCTCCCCAATCCCCCCACCCCCTGCTATTCCTCCCCTAGCTCCCCCACCTCCCGAGAGGCCCCAGTGTGTGATGTTCCCCTCCCTGTGTCCATGTATTCTTAGTGTTCAACACCCACTTATCAGTGAGAACATGTGGTCTGCTTAATGAACTGTCTTAATTTTTTTTCCTTTTGTTTCTTTTATTTTTTTTTTATACTTGAAGTTCTGAAGTACATGTGCAGAACTTGCAGGATTGTTACATAGGGTATACACGTGCCATGGTTTGCTGCCTTTATCACCGCACCCCGTCACCTACATTAGGTATTTCTCCTAATGTTATCCCTCCCCAACCTCCCTACCTCCTGCTATCCCTCCCCTAGCCCCCTACCCCCCAATAGACCCCAGTATGCGAAGTTCCCCTCCCTGTGTCCACGTATTTTCATTGTTCAACACCCACTTATGAGTGAGAACATGTGGTGTCTGGTTTTCTGTTCTTGTGTCAGTTTGCTGAGAATGATGGTTGCCAGCTTCATCCATGTCCCTGCAAAGGACATATATTCATCCTTTTTATGGCGGCATAGTATTCCATGGTGTATATGTGCCACATTTTCTTTCTTTAGCCCACTTCAGACCCCTTGGCTCTGCCAGGTGAGGGCCACCCCAACTCTGTCTCTCAGACATCTGGGCTCTAGGTATGCCCTCTCATTTTTCTCTTTGTTTTCATGTGAATCAAAATCTCAGAGACTCTTCTCCTGCTGATTCTTGGAGAATGGTGAGTTTTTTTTGTTCATTTTCACTTTTTTGAATCAGTTGAGTTGCCTTTGGAGTCATTTGGTGGGTACAATCCATCCTCCATTTAACATTGCTTTGTTTTGGTTTTTTAAAATATTCTTTTAAAAATTATTAAAACCTGATGTTGGTAATGTTTGCAACAAATATAGAGTTGGCCCAAAGCTTTACAGTTGGTCACAGAAGTCACCAAGAGGTCTTTGAGGAGACTGCCCCTGAGATTGCTAGCCAGCCACAGTGGTTCTCAAAGTGTGGTCCCCAGACCAGCAGCATCAGCATCACCTGGGAGCTTGTTAAAATGCATATTCTTAGATTCCAGCCCAGAAATACTGAGGCAGAAACTGAGTTTGGGGCCCAAACTCAGTTTCCACAAGCGCTGTAGGTGATTTTCATTCACATTAAATTTTGAGGATCCCTGGCTAAAAAAGAACTTCCATCTGCCCCTAATGAAATGAAACAAAATGAAACAAAACCTACAGACTCTACCTGGGAATCCTAGACTACAATAGCCAGTTCAACAGAGTGTATGATAAGACACAAATTCAAACACATACAGCCTTTGGGAATGAAGAATTCCCAAGTCTGGATCCTGGGAAAGCATCTCCAGTAAATGCAGACAGATGTTTACCAAAATACATTTATTAATACAAGGAGGTTCATTTAAAAAAAAAAAAAAAAAAAAAAAAAAAGCACTTCAGAAGGCACTTACATCCTGAAGAGGTTTTGAGAATCTTTAGGGCAGACATTGTGCAAGTATTTCTGGCCTGATGGGAAGCAAGAAAGCTCACTCTGGGCTTTTGGACCTCAGGAGCATGGTCTGAAGCTCAGATTCTGAAAAGAAGAAGCTGGACCTGTAAGACCCACATCAGCAGGGGGTGTGTGTGTGTGTGTGTGTATCTCTGTGTGTGTGTCAAGGGGAGGTAGAATCCTGAGTGTTGAGTCTCTGGATTATATATCATGGCACAGAAAGAAGCATTTCAACAACACAGATAATTGACCATCCTTCTTTTCTCTTCTAGATGTTGTAATCAGCTGAGACTCTACTCATCCCATCTCAAGCTCTCAGCACCTGAAATTTCCCTCTCCAGCCCTATTTGTAATAGCCAAAAGCCATCAACTACACCCATTAACAGCAGAATAATTTTTTTTAATTGGTCCATTTACCCAAGTAAAGTAATATGGTGACAAAATACAGCAGATGAATACAGTATAGAAAATACAGTTTAAAATCCAGTAATGAGTATGAATGAACTTTATGTGCAAACAATAGAGAGCATCTCAATGTGGAGTTTAAAAAAAAAAAAAACTGGGCACAAAAGAGTACATATTGAACTGGTGCCCACCCAAATGCACCAACCAGGGTGCCCACTACTGCTTCTGGCACTGCAAGTGCTGCCCAGGGACCTGAGGAATGGCCTGCCTGACCTGCTGCCGCCACTGCTAGTGCCCACACCCATCACCTGGGGGCCTGAGGACCAGACTGCCCGTGCCCTCCCACCCCCGCCACTGCCAGCATCCACAGTCGCTGCCTGGGGGCCTGAGGACTGGTACGGTGGGCCTGCTGCTGCCACCACCAGTGCCCATGTGTGGCACCCTGGGGCCCAACAAGCAGCCCACCTGTTGTTAATATCCCGAGCAAAGCCTCACCAGTTTCCACCACTAACAACCACAGTTTAAACCATTGAAAAATACAGACACTGCCGACATAAATTATAGCAAAGAGATCATATGAAGACTACATTGTTGCCTCTATCAAAGCCAAAACACCCTACTCGACCAAAACTATAAATACATCTACAAGAAAAAGTTTCTTTGTGAAAGCCAGTTCATAAAATTGGAAGAAGCAACTGTTACAACAAATGCACAGATATGACAGAAAGACACAAGAAACATGAAAAAAGCAAGGAAATATGATACTCCAAAGGAATACTGTAATTCTCCAGTACCGGATCTTAAAGAAAAGAAAATCTATGAAAGGCCCAGAAAGGAATTCAAAACAGTTATCTCAAGGAAACAACAAAATATGAGAGAACACAGCCAATACCAAGAAATCAGGGAAACAATCATGACCTGAATGTATCCATGTCAGTAAAAAAGATGGATATAATAAAAAGAGCCAAACCCCTAAAATAATCTAGTTATTCATGTCTCGAAAAAAAGTGAACTGAGTGTTCTGGGTCCCCCGAGGCCCCCTTGAGTGGCTTTTTCCTTCACTTGGAATAAAATCCAAACTTCTTCACCTTGCTCTGATCTTGGTTGGTCTTTCCAGTTTGAACTTTTCCCGATATTCCTCTCCCACACTACACCTCAGCTACAGTGGCCTCTTATCTGCACCTCAGGCATGAAAAGGTTTTTCATGTCTCTGGGCCTTTATATTTGATGTTCCCTTTGCTTAGAACTCTCTTTCCTCTCTGGTGAAAATGATACTTCCTCAGAGAGGTCTTACCTTTAATATACTGCACATCCTCTAAATCAGTGCTGTTGGTGGCATTCAGCACCAGTAATATCTGAACTGTGTATTGGTTTATTTCTCTTTTTTTTTTTAGACGGAGTCCTGCTCTGTCACCAGGCTGGAGTGCAGTGGCACGATCTCAGCCCACTGCAACTTCAGCCTCCCAGTTCAAGGGATTCTCCAGCCTCATCCTCCCAAGTAGCTGGGACTACAGGCCTGTGTCACCACACCCAGCTAATTTTTGTGTTTTTAGTAGAGACAGCATTTCACCATGTTGACCAGGATGGTCTCGATCTCTCGACCTCGTGATCCACCCGCCTCGGCCTCCCAAAGTGCTGGGATTACAAGCTTGAGCCACCGCGCCCGGCCGGCCTTGTTTCTTTTTTTATTTCCTGCTTCCCTCTCTAGAATGCCAGCACTTGGGAAGGCAGGCTGAGTTCTATTTTTTTTTTATTGCGTTTTATTTTTGTAAATCCCAATTTCCTATTCACTGGAACAGATCTTAGCGGAGCAGGCATTCAAATAATTAAGTAAACAAAGAAGAGTCAAGGGTGTTTTAACATTAGATTCTGCAAAATTCCCTGTCACTGGGGAGCTCATACCCTTTGAATATATCACCTTCTTTCAATCTATAGAAGACATAGATGGAGCCAGGTCCAATGGCTCACTTCTGTAATCCCAGCCCTTTGGCAGGCCAGGGCTGGAGGATCTCTTGAGCCCAGGAGTTGAAGGCTACAGTGGGCTATGATAGCACTGCTGCACTCTAGTCTGGGCCACAGAGTGAGACCCTAAACAAAACAAAACAAAAAGACATAGATGGGTCCTTCAATCATTATGCCTTAAGGCTATCTACAATGTTTCCAGACCTAGTTCTTTCTGTTTTCCAAGACTTCTCCAGACCAACCTGGTGGGGGTGGAGGTTGGGGGAGAGGACAGAGATGGGGGGTTCTATAAGATGGGCCAAGAGCAGAGTCTCACCTCCACTTCAGACAGTTTGGGTCCACGTTGAGTGTGGGGAGGCTCTGTCTCCTGAACAGAGACTGTATCTGTCTCACCCACCAAATCATACCCACTCCCCAAATAAGACCCATCATGGAGAAGAACATTAGGGAGAGGAATGAATAAATGAGTTAATAGAGTGCCTGAAAGATGGAAAAAAAATGAGTAACAGAACGACAGAGGGGTGCTGAGGCAAGAGAAGCATAATTTTTAATGCAATTTATATTTTAAGTTTCCTTGCTAAAAACGATGGGCTCCCAACTGCCCCAAATCCATACTCAAAAGAAGATACAAGATCCTCTATGGTTTAAGGCTCCGCCAAGTTCTTCGCTGTCATCTGTTGCTGTCTCGACTGGAAAAGGTTGGACTGAGATAGGTGAGTAAAGGGCTTAACCTCCCATCATCCCAAACTCCCAGTAGGACGCCTCCTGATGCACTCCAGTTCTCACTGGAAGCCGCCCACACACAGAGCACCTGCTTCACCTCCCGAGTTTGAATTATGTTACTAACTTTTTTCTCTCTGTGCCTTGTTTATTAACTCATTTATCCCAATTGACATTCTTTAACATTTTATCCATTTTCTGTTTGCGCCACTTCCCTTTGTTTTCTTCCACTCTTTCAGGTCAGGGGTCAGTGAATCACAGTTTTATTCCCAGCTTCCTACACAGCATCGGGCATAGAGTAGGTTCTCAATAAAGAAATATTGATTGGATTATTGGAGGGAGTGGCATTAGGGTAGGACAGGGTGGGGACATGATTACATTACAAAATTTGCTTAAATAATCAGGCATTTTAGCCCAGACATCACAGAGTCAGCTCAGGAGTTCTGCGGCACACAGCTGATCAAACCACTGTGTCTCCAGAGGACATGATGCCAGGTAAGCTGGGCAAAGGCAGGAGGCTGGGGGTTGAGTGACTAGGTTGCAGATACATCAAGTGAGAGATGTGGGATCTTGTGGTGGCTTCTGGACTTTGTCAATGCTAGGTTGACAATTTTAGAAACCACTGGGTTGTACCGACAAGGACCATTTGAAAAGCAATTTGCAATGGGACTCCAGTAACTTAGGAGTTTGTTTCTCCACATCCCTTTTTATAAAAAGATGGGGTCTTGCTATGTTACTCAGGCTGGCTTCTACCTCCTAGGCTCTAGTGATGCTCCCACCTCATCCTCAGGAGTAGCTGGGCCTTATAAGTGTGTGCCAACCATGCCCAGCTAATTTTTAAATTTTTTTGTAGAGACAGGATCTCACTTTGTTGCCTAGGCTGTCTTGAACTCACATCCTTTTTAATGCCTGGTACTACTTCTTAAATGTCAGTCCATTTATGGGCATAAAATAGTACATGATCTTTAAATCTCATTTATTTACCAGTGTGATTGAATCTGTTCACTCTATATTAAAGGCCATTATGTTTTCCCCTCATGCTAATTTTTGTATTTATATCGTTTCCCATTTTTTAGTATTTTTTTCTTGAGGCTTAGTAGAATATTTTTGTTGTCTTCTAGATACTAATAATTTATCTCTTATATGTGTTGCAAATACATTCTCCCAGCATGTCTTGTGTTTTTCAATTTACTTATGAGTACTATTGTACAAATATTCTGAGAGTTGCCATTGTGATATTTATCAACATTTTCCTTTGATAATTCTACATGTAAAACATAGTTTAGAAGTGTATTTCTGGCCAGGCACAGTTGCTCATGCCTGTAATTCCAGCGCTTTGGGAGACCAAGGCGTGTGGAACACTGAGGCCAGGAGTTCGAGACCAGCCTGGACAACATGGTGAAACCCCGGCTCTATTAAAAATACAAAAATTAACCGGGCATGGTGTCACGTGTCTGTGGTCCCAGCTACTTGGGAGGCTGAGACACAAGAATTACTTGAATGTGGGAGGCAGAGGTTGCAGTGATCTGAGATTGCAGTGCTGCACTCCAGCCTGGACAACAGAGCAAGACTGTCTCCAAAAAAAAAGAAAAAAGTGCATTTCTTGGCTAGAGAAAATGTAATTTTACTTATATTTTAACTTTTTTAAATGATTTTATGTTATATTTGAAATAGATGCCCGGTGCCACAAAGAAAAATCAGTACTGGGACAAAAGATCTCTCAGCAAAGCAATTCTTTTTACTTCCTACAGAAAGCATTCTCCCATAGCAATCTTGTCATGACAGTAGAAGGAACAAAGGAAAGCAGACATATTTCTTACACATTGGGGTTGTCTTTACTGCTGTATCAGATCTCCATTGGCTGGAGCCAGACCTCACAATCTAAACTAAAACCTGATTGGCTAATACAAGCAATGGAGAGCAAAAAGGGGAAGTCCAAATGAGGAAGGAGCATAGGCTGTGAGCCGGGACACGCCTGTTAGCACTTTCAGCACAAATATCTTGGTTAAAGTATGAGGACAAGGCTGGGTGCGGTGACTCATGCCTGTAATCCCAGCACTTTGGGAGGCCGAGGCGGGTGGATCACGAGGTCAAGAGATCGAAACCATCCCGGTCAACATGGTGAAACCCCATCTCTACTAAAAATACAAAAATTAGCTGGGCATGGTGGTTCACGCCTATAGTCCCAGCTACTCGGAAGGCTGAGGCAGGAGAATTGCTTGAACCCAGGAGACAGAGGTTGCAGTGAGCCGAGATCGCGCCATTGCACTCCAGCCTGGGTAACAAGAGCGAAACTCGGTCTCAAAAGAAAAAAAAAAAAAAAAGTACGAGGACATAGAATGTACCACGTGCCTGTAAGCATAGCTAACAGCTACATAGTATAGGGCTTCTGGCAAAAAGGCAAAAAGTCTTTTAAAGGAAATGTTTAAAACAAACTATTATTTCTAACACTTATGAATTTTTTTCTTAAACAAGAAAGGAGACTTTGAAGTGTAACTTTTTACTTCCCACATTCTAATAGAAAACTTATGCATCAACAAGCTCACTTATCAAAACTTGTACCTGGCTCTTCTAATACATTTTTCTATTCTTTAATACTAAACTTAAAAAAATACTAATTAGTCGATTTTACATATTGACCTCTCAGCTTGGTAGATGATTTTGCCACTTCCCTCCTCGACTTCACCCCCTGTAACTTACCAATGGGCAGCGTTGCTTTTCTAAAGACCAGTAGAATTCTAATAACTATTCCTTTGAATGGAAATTCGACTTCCCTTTAGAAGCTTTTGGAACTTGCTGTATATTCTTAGTATTCTGATATTTTTGCAATAATGATCCTTTTGTTCATTTTTTGTGCTCATGATGGAATAGCTTCAGTCTGGAAACCCCTATGCCTCATCTCTCAGATCTTGATTGATTATTTATTTATTTATTTATTTATTTGAGGCATAGCCTCACTCTGTCGCCCAGGCTGGAGTGCAGTGGCACGATCTCAGCTCACTGCAACCTCCGCCTCCTGGGTTCAAGTGATTCTCCTGCCTCAGCATCCCAAGTAGCTGGGATTACAGGCGCCTGCCACCACACCCTGCTACATTTTGTATTTTTGGTAGAGACAGGGTTTCACCATGTTAGCCAGAATGGTCTTGATCTCCTAACCTTGTGATTTGCCCACTGTGGCCTCCCAACGTGCTGGGATCACAGGGGTGAGCCACTGCACCTGGCCTCAAATCTTGAATTTTTAAAATATTTTTGTGATACTCTCTGAAACTTCTTTTAGTCAGAGATATTTTTAGTCACACAAATATTGCTAGTGTTGGACATCCCTGAGCAAAGGTCTTATTTTCTGATCTTTTCACTCTTTCTGTCCACTTTTGTATATTTTTTCTATTTCCTGGAATAGCTTTCTCTTCCAACTCTTCTATTGCATAAGGATTTATTTTTAGCTATTGATTTCAAAGACCATTTGTCTTATCAGATTTTCCTTTCTTTTCAAGACTTTCTTGATGTGAGTGCAATATCTTTATTTATCTGAGAATATTAATTTTAACATTTATATGTATTTTTTCTTGTTTCTTGTTTTTTGGTTTTTGGTTTTGTTTGTTTGTTTGTTTGTTTGTTTGTTTTGAGGTGGAGTTTTGCTCTGTCACCAAGGCTGCAGTGCAGTGGAGTGATCTCAGCTCACTGCAACCTCCACCTCCATGGTCCAAGCGATTCTCCTGCCTCAGCTTCCCAAGTAGCTGGGATTACAGGCACCCACCACCACGCTCTGCTAAATTTTGTATTTTTCGTAGAGACAGGGTTTTACCATGTTGGCCAGACTCGTTTCAAACTCCTGATCTCAAGGGATCCACCCTCCTTGGCCTCCCAAAGTGCTAGGACTACAGGTGTGAGCCACTGCACCTGGCCTTATTTCTTAAGAAAAGAATATGTTTATTTGCTGTTTTCGTCCTCTTTCTTTTACTCTTCGACCTTCCCCTTCTTTTTCTCTTTGTCTCTGTCTCTCCTTCTCTCTCTCTCTCTCTCTTTCTTGCTGTTCCCCCTCTATTTCAGGGTTTTTCTTCATTATCCTGTAAATTTTTGCTCTCCCTTTGTGTCTAAACAAATGCTGAGAAGCTAAGGGAAACCAGTGTGCTTGATCACTTGTCTTCACTATGCGATGATTAGGCAGCATGTTGCCTTTTGTTTTTCCATGTATTTGTATGAGGAATAAGAGCATCCTAAAAATAGAATCTTTCATATAAAATAGATGACCATGAGAATCAGGTTTTACTAGTTGATGAAGTCTTATTTATATTCTAAACCCTAGTAAAAACTCCCATTCTGCATTAACGCCATTTGCATATTTGTCCCCTCAAAATCTCATGTTGAAATGTGATCCCCCAATGTTGGAGGTGGGGCTTGTTGGGAGGGGTTTGGATCATGGGAGTGGTTCCCTCTGAATGGCTTAGTGCCATCTTTGTGGTAATGAGCGAGTTCTCAGTAGTTCACACGAGATCTGGTTGTTTAAGAGTGTCTGGGACCTCCCCCTGCTCTCCCTTGCTCCCACTCTCTCTGTGTGACACTTTGCCCCCCTTCACCTTCTGTCCTGAATGGAAACTTCCTAAGGCCCTCACCAGAAGCAGATGCCAGCACGATGCTTCGTGTATAGCCTGCAGAACTGTGAGCCAATTAATTCCTCTTTTCTCATTTACCCAGCTTTAGGTATTCCTTTATAAATGCATAATGGACTAACACATGCACCAAGCCTGTAATTAACAGACTTGCTTCTTTGGTTACTCACATCTTCCCTAAAGGAGTGAACTTTCTGGAACCATTTTACTGATAAAGATATGGAGGCAAACAATACAAGTGTAGCGACCACCCCAAAGTCACTGAGCTACTAGTAAATGAGAGAATCAATATTCATTCTCAGGTCACTAAGCTTCATCTTTGCTTACCTACTGACCCTTAATAAATGGCCAAACCAATAGCTTCAGGGTCTCAAAGGCCAACAAACATAGACAGCAGTGCCACTGAGTCCATGACTGGTTAGGTTAATAGGGTCTCAAATACCCTGTGAACCTTGTAAACTCATATAAACCCGGTGTCAATATCATGCCACTGTTCTATTCTATCTCAATAAGGCCTGATATGGTTTGGCTGTGTCCCCATCCAAATCTCATCCTGAATTGTAGTGCCCGTAACTCCCATGTGTTGTGGGAGGGGCCCTGTGTGAGATAATTAAATCATAGGGGCAGTTTCCCCCATGACAGTCTCATGGTAGTAAGTCTCATGAGATCTGATGGTTTTATGAAAGGTTTCCCCTTTTGCTTAGCTCTCATTCCCTCTCTTGCCTCATCACCATGTAAGATGTGGCTTTGCTCCTCCTTGCCTTCCACCATGATTGTGAGGCCCCCCCCAGCCATGTGGAACTGTGAGTCCATTAAACCTCTTTCCTTTGTAAATTATCCAGTTTCAGGTGTGTCTTTATTATAGTAGCATGAGAACCAGAAAGATGTCCCCAGGTTGCTAGGAAAACAAATTTGTGCCCAAAGTTATGGAGAGGTAAATATTCCTCCCCCAGGGGCTGTAGAATGAGGCCACAGAAATAAGATTTTCCTATTTGTGGCTTAAAAATGTGTCCTGCTCAGTGGAAGTTGGCACTGATTTTCTGGGAATGCAGAACACTCCCAGGAGGAGGGTGCGAAGTGGGTCTCATGCATTGAATGTTTAGCCTAAGCTCTTGATTCCCAGGCCAAGCTCAGGAAAGAAGCTTACCTTTGGGGACATATATATATGTAGTGTGTGTGTGTGTGTGTGTGTGTGTGTGTGTGTGTGTGTGTGTGTTTTGCATTCCAATAAAACATTAAATTTTTTTTTTATTTCCATAGGTTATTGGGGAACAGGTGGTGTTTGGTTACATGAATAAGTTCTTTAATGGTGATTTGTGAGATTTTGGTGCACCCATCACCCAAACAGTGTAAACGGCACCATATTTGTAGTCTTTTATCCCTCGCCCCACCATATTTTTAGTCTTTTTTCCCTCACCCCCTTCCCACTCTTTCCCCGAGTCCCCAGAGTCCATTGTGTCATTCTTATGCTTTTGCATCCTCATAGCTTAGCTCCCACTTGTAAGTGAGAGCATACGATGTTTGGTTTTCCATTCCTCAGTTACTTCACTTAGAATAATAGTTGCCAATCTCATCCAGGTTTCTACAAATATCATTAATTCATTCCTTTTTATAGCTAAGTAGCATTTCATCATACACACACACACACACACACACACACACACACACCCCGGAGTTTCTTTATGCACTCATTGGTTGATGAACATTTGGGTTGGTTCCACATTTTTGCAATTGCAAATTGTGCTGCTATAAACATACATGTGCCATTATCTTTTTCATATAATGACTTCTTTTCCTCTGTGTAGATACCTAGCAATGGGATTGCTGGATCAAATGGTAGTTCTCAGTTCTTGAAGGAATCTCCACACTGTTTTCCGTAGTGACTGTACTAGTTCACATTCCCACCAGTGGTGTAACGTGTTCCCTGTTCACTGCATCCATGACAACATCTATTATTTTTTTTTTATTATGGCCATTCATGTGGTTTTGATTTGCATTTCCCTAATCATTGGTGATGTTGAACATTTTTCATGTTTATTGGCCATTTTTATTCTGTATCTTTTCTTTTTTTCTTTTTCTTTTCTTTTTTTTTTTTTTTTTTTGAGGTGGAGTCTGTCTCTGTTGGCCAGGCTGGAGTGCAGCGGCACAATCTTGGCTCGCTGCAACCTCCTTCTCCCAGGTTCAAGCTATCCTCCTGCCTCAGCCCCTCTAGTAGCAGGGATTACAGGCATGTGCCATCATACCTGGCTGATTTTTGTATTTTTAGTAGAGATGGGTTTTTGCCATGTTGGCCAGGCTGGTCTCAAACTGTCCTCAGGTGATCCGCCCACCTCAGCCTCCCAAAGTGCTGGGATTGCAGGCATGAGCCACAAGTGGAGCATTTAGGCCCTAAATTCAATGTTAGTATTAAGATGTGAGGTCCTATTCCATTCATTGTGCTATTTGTTGCCTGTATAACTTGTTTATTGTGTGTTTTCTTAATTTGTATTTTTGTTTTGTAGGTCCTGTGAGATTGATACTTTAAAGAGTTTCTGTTTTGATGTGTTGCCAGGATTTGTTTCAAGATTTAGACCTCCTTTCAGCAGTTCTTATGTTGCTGCCTTGGTAGTGGTGAATTCTCTGAGTATTTGCCTGAAAAAGACTGTATCTTTCCTTCGTTTATGAAGCTTAGTTCACTGGATACAAAATTCTTAGCTGATCATTGTTTTGTTTAAGGAGGCTGAAGCTAGGGTCTCAATCCCTTCTAGCTTGTAAGATTTCGTCTGCTGTTAATCTGATAGGTTAAAAAAACAAAACAAAACAAAACAAAACAGGTTACTTGTTGCTTTTGCCTCACAGCTTTTAAGATTCTTTCCTTCATCTTGACTTTAGATAATCTGATGACAATGTGCCTAGGAGATCATCTTTTTGTGGTGAATTTCCCCCATGTTCTTTGAGCTTCTTGTATTTGGATGTCTAGGTCTCTAGCAAGGCTGGGGAAGTTTTCTTCTATTATTCCCCCAAATATTTTCCCGAACTTTTACATTTCTCTTCTGCCTCAGGAACGCCAATTATTATTAGGTTTGGTTGTTTAACATAATCCCAGACCTCTTGGAGGCTTTGTTCGTATTTTCTTACTCTTTTCTGTTTGTCTTTGTTGGATCGGGTTCATTTGAAAACCTTTCCTTCAAGCTCTGAAGTTCTTTCTTCTGCTTGTCTGATTCTACTGCTGAGACTTTCCAGAGCATTTTGCATTTCTATGAGGGTATTCACTGTCTTCTAAAGTGTTGATTATTTTTTATTTATGCTGTCAATTTCTCTGAAGATTTCTCCCCTCATTTCTTGTATCTTCTTTTTTTTTTTTTTTTTTTTTTAAATTTCCTTAAATTGGGCTTCACTTTTCTCTGGTGCCTCCTTGATTAGCTTAGTAACTGACCTTCTGAATTCTTTCTCAAGTAAATCAGGGATTTCTTGGTTTGGATTTATTGCTGGTGAGCTAGTGTGATTTTGTGGGGGGGCGGTGTTAAAGAACCTTGTTTTGTCATATTACCAAATTTGGTTTTCTGGTTCCTTATCATTTGGATAGACTCTGCCAGAGGGAAGGTCTAGGGCTCGAGGCTGTTGTACAAATTCTTTCGTCCCATGGATATTCCCTTGATGTAGTACTCTCCCCCTTTTCCTCTGAATTTTTTTTAATGAAAGCCTTTTGACTGTTCCCTCTGCAGAAAGGCCAAAGCGTGTTCGTCGGCATCGCACAACATTTCTCTCCCAACAACTCATGGCATTGAGAAAAATGTTTGAAAAGACCACGTACCCAAGTTTGGCTACAATGGTAACACTGGCTTCGGAGCAGCAACTCAATCTACCTGTAGTACAGGTCTGTCCCCAAGGGTATCTGTCGTAGCATGCCTAACCCAGAGCTTCACACACACTTTTAATCATTGTTACAATTCCTTTTTCTTGACAGTTGTCCTTGTACAAGGACAGATGTTAAGCACTTTATATTCTTATTGTCATGAGCACCCACTTTATTGAGGGACACTAAGGCTCACATAGAAGAGCTGTCTTCCTGCCAGGAGCAGTGGCTCACATCTGTAATCCCATCACTTTGGGAGGCTGAGGCAGGTGGATCATCTGAGGTCAGGATTTTGAGACCAGCCTGACCAACATGGAGAAACCCCGTCTCTACCAAAAATACAAAATTAGCCGGGCGTGGCGGCATGTACTTATAACCCCAGCTACTCAGGAGGCTGAGGCAGAATTGCTTGAACCCAGGAGGCAGAGATTGCAGTGAGCTGAGATCATGCCATTGCCCTCCAGTCTGGGCAATGATAGCAAAACTCCAAAGAAAAAAAAAAAAGAAGAAGAAGAGCTGTCTTCTAAGCATTATAAATACAAGAGCTGGAATTTGAACCCATACCTTTCTAACTCCAGACCCACCATGCTACACAAGACTGTCTGAGGCTGGTTCTCAGCTACTCCCATTTGGGTCTATTCTTGTGTATTCAGGATGGGTTCTGCTTAATTCACAGTCATCCAGCTGCCTGTCACCAAGTTCCCACAGAGTATTCAGGGGAGAACATCTGGATGAACTCTGAACACATCCCAAGCTAAACTCTCACCCCATACTCTGGCTTTAAAATACTTTCTCTGGGCACCAGGCATAGTGGCTCACACTTGTAATCCTAGCACTTTGGGAGGCAGAGGCAGGAGAATCGCTTGAGCTCAGTTCAAGACCAGACTGGGCAACATAGCAAGACTCTACAAAAAAATCAAAAATTAACCAGGCATGGAGGCACATGCCTTTAGTCCCAGCTACTTGGGAGACTGAGCTAGGAGGATTGCTTAAGCTCGGTGCTGCAGTAAGCTATCATTGCGCCACTGCACTCCAGGCTAGGTGACAGAGCAGTACCCTGCCTTGAAAAAAAAAAAATACACCACTAATACAAATCCCCTTTTGCTTAATACATCATGACCTAGGGCATATTCCATTGCTAGTACAATCCTACACCCACTTTTCCCTTGAAACCCAGGACAGCAGAGGATAGAAAGAGCTTCCCTTGTTGCAATAAATGTAAGACTAACTCCCTCACACCAAAAAAAAACCTGAGGAACATGAAGATGCCTCTTTATACTCAACCCCCATTATTAATTTCCCCTCTCCCCCTTCCTAGACATGGTTCAAGAACCAGCGTGCCAAAAGGAAGAAGCAGCAGCAGAAGCAAATGCAGCCACAGCTGTTACTACGAGCATCAAGACAGACTATTTCAGCGAAGGAGGAGACTCCCTCAGCTCTAACTACTGCAGATATTCGTCCAATAAGTCCTAGAATCTCTGATGTAAATGACCATGATCTACATGAGCCTTCTGGTATCAAGAATCCTGGAGAAGCCGGCGCCTCTGTGAGGAATTCATCCTGGCATTCTCAGTCACATGATATTGAACAAATATGTCTGGGGACTTCAAATCTTCCTTGGGCCTCCACACCCTATGAAATAGATGAATTTGTAAAGATCTATGACCTGTCAGAGGAGGATGACACCAGCAGCCTAAATCAATATCTTTTTCCTCCCAGTGTGCCTGGAGTATGACCAGCTCCAATCTTCAGGCTGGGTGTGGTGGCTCACGCCTGTAATCCCAGCACTTTGGGAGGCCGAGGTCGGCAGATCACCTGACATCAGGAATTCGAGAACAGCCTGATCAGCGTGGAGAAACCCTATCTCTACTTAAAAAAAAAAATACAAAAAAAATTAGCTGGGCATGGTGGCACATGCCTGTAATCCCAGCTACTCGGGAGGCTGAGGCAGGAGAATCACTTGAACCCAGGAGGCGGAGGTGGCAGTGAGCCGAGATCACACCACTGCACTCCAGACTGGGCAACAAAAGTGAAACTCCGTCTCAAAAATAATAATAATAATAATAATAATAACAAAGCAAAAACAAACTTACACACAAGTCATGGGGGAGGCCTGTGATCTGACCCACTGAGATCTATTTCCAAACACCTTTAATGGGTCGATCCCAGTCTAAATAGATCAGAGGCTGTGAATTTATCTTTTTCTGTAAGAAAAGACAATAAAGGAACTCCCCTATCTTTCATCATTGCCTGCATTTTCTGACTCCATTTTAGTGCCTCCTCCTCCAAATTTCAGCATTAAAGACTGTCATCAGAGAAGTGACACCAGCAACACAGTGAACAATGACATGGGAGGTTCCTGACTCTGATGCACTGAATAAACATCTACACCTGGATCAGTTCTCTGAAAGAAAATCAGAAACAAGTTGAGACTTCTATACACCAGGCAACTGAGAAAATCAACAAACAGAGAGCAGTGGCTCACACTTTGGGAGGCTGAGGCAAGCAAATCACAAGATGAGGAGTTGGAGACCAGCCTGACCAACATGGTGAAACCCCATCTCTACTAAAAATACAAAAACTAGCTGGGCATTATGGCACATGCCTGTAATCCCAGCTACTCGGGAAGCTGAGGCAGGAGAATCGCTTGAACCAGGGAGGCAGAGGTTGCAGTGTGCTGAGATCGTGCCACTCCAGCCTGGGTGACAGAGCGAGACTTTGTCAAAAAACAACAACAACTTAAAAAACAGGAAAAGCTGAAGCACTCAGGAACCAAATCCACCCTGAGCACTGAGCATCCAATCAGGAAGGAATTCCTAGTTCCCAGCTTCTCCCCGTGGAGAGAAGGGGTGAACCACACATAGCCCTCTAACTGTTAATGGATAAGTTCCTAACTAGCCTGCATCAGAGAGTTGACTAGGTAGATAAACTACAGACTTACAAGAGCCTGAACAGAAGCTGCCTCCCAAGCCTTCACCACCAGCTCAGCCCACCAGTAAATCCAGGTCTGTCAATTCCTCCTGAAAGAAGTTTGTCCACACATCAATCACCCCAACTTTTTATTGCTGCCATTCAAGGGACTGCATCCTAAACTCCCACACCTCTGGAAATGGAAGGGATTAGGCATATGTGAGTCTCCCTAGCCCACAGAAGAAAAAGGTGGTTTTAAGCAGCCACACAAGCACTTCAGTGTTAGCCTTCCTCTGCCACACTCCCCCAACCAGAGCAGTGCAGAGAAGGGGTCAAACCGCACAGCTCCCAGTTTCTCCTCAAAAAGGATTTGCCAACACACTCTTCCAGCTGCTGTTTGATAGTCCTGCTTTTAACCAGCTTGTATCCGGGAGTTCACAAGACAGACAAATGCTGGACCCTCGGGAGCCTGCACAGGACTTCAGACACTCCAAGCCTTTTGCCCTTGCTTGCTCCAGTGGGAAATGTACAGACTCTCCCTGGAAGGAGCTTTTCCATGCAGTGAGCACCCAAACTTTTACAGCTTCCACCGCATCCTAAATCACCTATCTCTAGGAAGTGAAGGGACTTGGCATTCACTAGTTTCCCTGGGTCACAGCAAAGAGGTGATTTTAAACTGATGCACAAGCATTTCCAGTACACTGGGATATTCCCAGGGGCCTGAGGCTGAGCACACCCAGCTGGCCACCACCACCTCAGGTGGCATCTACCTGCATGTGCCACTTACGGGCCTGGAGACTGGCCTGCTCAGCCCATCGCAGCCATCACCAACACTAGCACAAGCTGACTGGCAGCTACATTGTCCTGCCAATGTTATTGCCATTGCCTCTGCCACATCCTGCTGCCCAGTAGCCCCAGGAACTGTGCGTCTACCTGGCCCATGGCTGCCAATGCCAGCACCAAAGCAAGCCACCTGGAAGCCCAGGAATTGGCCCACCTGAACCTGCTAAGACCTGTGCCAGCATATACCACCCCAGGGCTCCAGGACAGGCACACTTGGCCCACCACTGCCACCACTGTGCCCAAGAACTGGCCCACCTGGCATCCCCTGTCCCCAGAAAAACTTCACCACAGCCTCCACTAACAACTGCACTTTAAGTCACAGAGGAAATAACACACACTACTGATGTTGCTTACAGCCAAAGAAATCATACAAAGATTATACCTGGATAAAGAATTCAAAATAACGAATTAAAGAAGCTCAGTGAGATACAGAAGAACTCAGAAAAATAATACAAACAAATTAGAAAAACAATTCAGGATATGAATGAAAAGTTTACCACAGAGATAGACATAAAAGAAGAACCAAACGTTCTGGAAAAGAAGACTTCATTGAATGAAATATATTTGAAAGCTTCAGCAACTGACTAAATCAAATAGAAAAAAGAATTTCAGAACCTGAAGCCCTATCTTTTGAAATAACCCAGGAAGACAAAAAGACAAAAAATTTAAAAAGAATGATAAAAGTCACATGAGATACCATAAAGCAACCAAATTTTCAAATTATTGGGGTCCCAGAAGGCAAAGAGAGAGAGCAAAAGGTTAAGAAAATCTTTTAATAAAATAATAGTCTGGGTGCAGTGGCTCATGCCTATAATCCCAGCACTTTGGGAGGTCGAGGCAGGTTGGTCACTTGAGCTCAGGAGTTCAAAATGAACCTAACCAACATGGTTGAAACCCTGTCTCTACTAAAAATACAAAATTAGCCAGGCACAATGGCACATGACTGTAATCCCAGCTACATGGGAGGCTAAGGGAGGAGAATCAACTGAACCTGGGAGGCTGAGGTTGCAGTGAACCAAGATCACGCCATTGCACTCCAGCCTGGACAAAAAGAGTGAAACTTTTTGTCTCAAAATAATAATAATGTCTTTTTTAAAAAAAATGTCTAGCTTGATCTTAAAGGAATAAATCATTCTCTAAGAGAACTTACGGATGGAGGCCTTGATTTCTGCCAGCCAATCCCAGGAGTTAGCTGTAAGAGTCACTACTCGCCGGGCGCGGTGGCTCAAGCCTGTAATTCCAGCACTTTGGGAGGCCGAGGCGGGTGGATCACAAGGTCGAGAGATCGAGACCAACCTGGTCAACATGGTGAAACCCTGTCTCTACTAAAAATACAAAAGATTAGCTGGGCGTGGTGGCGCGTGCCTATAATCCCAGCTACCCAGGAGGCTGAGGCAGGAGAATTGCCTGAACCCAGGAGGCGGAGGTTGCGGTGAGCCGAGATCGCGCCATTGCACTCCAGCCTGGGTAACAAGAGCGAAACTCCGTCTCAAAAAAAAAAAAAAAAAAGAGTCACTACTCACGTTTGCGAAATTCATCTTGATCAATGACCTCTCCTTTAGTTTCAGGAAGAAGAAGCAAGAACCTTTAAGTAATTAATAAGTAAGTGGCTGATGTGAAGAAACGCTGAGGCTCTAAAGCTGGATGGAACAGAGACTGGACTATTCTCTGAACATCTAAGTCTATGCAGCTATAAACAAGAAGGTAAGGCTGCAGGAGCTGACCCGGAGGCCCCAAGATGCATCAATAAGCCAAGATGGTAGCAGCTGTGGAGCTCTGTGGGGCAGCAGTCCCCAACATTTTTGGCACCAGGAACCGGTTTTGAGGAAGGCAAATTTTCCACAGACGGCAGTGACCCACCGGGTAGTTGGGGTGGGTGGGTGGGGGTGGGGTGTTGTTTGGGAATGTTTCAAGCTCATTATATTTATTGTGCACTTTATTTCTATTATTATTACATTATCATATATAATTAAATAATTATACAACTCACTATAATGTAGAATCAGTGGGAGCCCTGAGGGTGTTTTCCTGCAACTAGATGGTCCTACATGGGGGTTGATGGAAGACAGTGACAGATCATTAGGCATTCGATTCTCATAAGGAGTGTGCAACCTATAGATCCCTCAAATGCACAGTTCACAATAAACTTTGTGCTCCTGTGAGAATCTAAGGCCCCAGCTGATCTGACAGGAGGCGGAGCTCAGGCTGTAATGCCAGCGATGGGGAGTGGTTGCAAATAGCGATGAAGCTTTGCTCATTGACCCACTGCTCACCTGATGTGCGGCCTGGTTCCTAACTGGCGACCATGAGTACAGGTCTGTGGGGGACGTGGGGGAGGATGCTAGGGACCACTAGTGTAGAGTGCTCTCTTGTAACTCACCCAGCCTTTAAGTGAGTGCAGATTTGCAAACACAACCACATTCTCTAGAAGGGACCCTATGAGCTGGAGGATGAGACCACAGCCTGGAGTTTTGCTTTTGACTTCTGTAATGTTTAGGCATTTTTTATGGTAAGCATAACTTACTTCTGAAATTTAAGAAACGACCGCATTAAGCGGTGAAATACTACACGGGTGTTTACTTTGTTATTGTGTTTGCATGAACATTTAAGAAAAATAAAACATTAAGAATTGGTGGCAGGCGTGGTGGAAGCTTTTTAAAAAACAGCAGCAACAAAACCTGTCCCCTACATGTAACAGCGAGGTCTGTCTTCGGAGGAATTGGTGAGCTGCGTCTCATCCCGCTGTCAAGCAAGGGATCGTGGTGGTGGAACGTGACTGGGGAGTGGGAACTGAGCCTGGGGAGCAATTCTAGAAGCCTGAGGCTAAGACGTGTCAGGAGAGTTTGGGAAGCGAATGTAGCCAAGATGCCAACTCCAGTCTTTGAGCTCCAGAGGGCGCTCTTCGCACATGAAAGACGGTACGCGGAGCGCTTGGGGTGATGCTTGCAGAGGAACTGAGCCAGGCTGTGGTCCTCTGTGCCGTCTCCTTCCGGTAGGCA